ATCACAATTTGAACGAGGAAAATAAGAATCTGAAATATATAAATATACATAGAATCTATGTATATAATATAATTCTATATGGCAAGATCCTGATATACTTCTCTTCTTAATTCTGGTTGTTATTGATATGATAGAGTGTTATTATAAATTATAACAGAACTAAAAAACAAAAAATAAATTAAGATTTCATAATAACAATATGAAGAAAAAATACAATTTTGGTAATATCGCTACACAAATACAAACTATTTTAATATTATATATGACTATTTTAATAAATCTATGGTGGCAAAGTTTAAAATATTAAAGTTGTTATTGTACTACAATTTTTGGCTGAAGGACTTTTAACCGATGCGACAATAACATAAAGGAAGAAATAAAGAATAAAAATAAAAATAATAATAAAAATAGCTGCTACATGTTTAATAATCTGTGGAAAAATAGAACCAGCATCCAGCACTAGTTTATACACACCTGCGCTGTCTAGTAGCATAACAATATGACGTCGATTACGATCGACGAACTAGCCGACTTTTTCAGTCGTACTGACATATGGGCTGCCCGAGCCCGCGTCCGAGACCATACTCTAGCCGGCCCATCTACGCAGCATGTCTGGCCCTCTGCTGACCGTCCGATCATGCGGATCGACGACCACATGTCGCCGAGCACCGCACCCACTATCCCCGTGTCCATAGACACAATTTACGACGCCGTGTCCCCCGCGCTTTCCGCGATGTCCACCCGCGGCCCCTCTCCGGTATCCTCGGATGCCGATTCAGGCTCTGACATGGAGACCGAGTCGCTTGTCCTGCTTTAGCCTGAAGATGAAGGCTTCACCATCGTTCAGGGCATAAAGCGCAAACGCTAGACCCCAAAAAGGCAGCTCAGCCTAACTCCAGAAACTGTTATGCCAGGCCTAGGTGCGTCAAATGCCTAGGTGACCACGGCAATACTGACTGCTTCCGCACGCCCGAGACGGAGACGGTTGAGTCAATTGCCGCGAAGAGGGACACCCAGTGAATTACCGCGGGCGTTCCAAAGCGCCGCGAAGGAAACAGCGCGGAGGTAGAAGCCGTGCCGGATGCGCGGACCAAGCCAGTGTGCCCCCAAATCTGCACCGTCTTTGGTGCCCACTCCCTCACCTGAAGTCGCCACCAATTCCGCCCCTTTCGCCGGGGCCTCCGTGCAACGTGCTATGCCTCCCGCGTCGAAACCCTACGCTTGGATGAAACCACCGGCACTTGTCGCCTCATGATCAGTGCCGCCTCCCCAGGCCCTAAAAACGATCCTCGACGAACGGCCACAGCCCGTCCCACAAGGATCGTCTTGCTTCGCCGCTGACTTCTCTCTAGTTAGCTCTGCAGCTTTATTAGCAACATTAAAGTTTCTGAATTATCTTCTTTGGCCCGCAAGTTCCAAGAAGCCACCACGCCTCAGAATAAGCTCAACGCCACGATTGAGCACATAGGACTAATCGACGCAATCTGGCCTTTCCAGTGCACCTAACCACCTCAATTAAACACCAGTACGGCAGCATAACCTTTAAGTAGAATGAAACCACGCTCTCTGGCTGTCGCGTTCTTTAACGCGAACGGCCTCAGAGACCAAAAAGACGAGATGGCGCTCTTCTTGCGCAACCACGATGTAGACGTAATGTTAGTGCAAGAGACTTTTTGAAACCTAGCCATCGCGATCCTAAGATCGCAAACTACACCTTCGTTAGAAATTACAGGTTTAACAGCCGTACAGACGGCACCTTTATCTACTACAAAAGGTACTTGCACTGTCTATCGATCGACGCTCCCCCGTCAACTAACATAGAAATTCCTATATGTAAAGTAGCCCTCTCTGGCCATCCGCCACTCACTATAGTTTCGGCGTATCTACCGCCGCTTAAACGTCTAATCGAAGCTGACAGAATTATTCAATGTAGACTCCTGTGTCATAATAGCTGGAATCCTTAACAGTAAGTATTCCTCCTGGAACTCGCTTATCACCGAATGGTGGTAGACGAGATCCAATGGGAATGCATTGTTCGATCTCTCGGAGCGACTAAACTTCGATGTTATCGCATCTGAGACTCCGACCCGCTATCCATTTGCTACTAGTCAACAACCGGACATCCTTGACGTAGCAATACTCAACAATATCAGTTTGTCGATAGCATCGATCGAAACTATCTTAGAACTCAACTCGGACCAAAGACCAATCCTATTGCAGTTAGGCCAACCCGCATTGAAGTCCTTCAGACCAAAACCATCGTGGACTGGTGTAAGCTCGAGGTCAAACTCGAGTCTACGACCTGCCAGCACTTAAAAAATATCCCAGACAAAATAGACACACCAGAGGAGGCCAATGTGGTGATTAGCGCCCTATCGGCTCACCCCACCTTTACAGTTGAAGAATGCTCTTGTAAGGTTCGTGTGTCGAGTAATCGATGATATTCGACAGCTAATCACAGCAAAGAACGCGGCCCTAAGTCAATATAAACACTATCGTACTGTAGACAACAAATTTCGACTGCGCATCCTCCAAAATAAGGCAAACTGAAACAGCGCATTAGCGAATTAAGACATGATAAGAGGAATAATCCGCTAGAGGATATTGAGCCATCTCAAACTGCCTTCTGGCAGTTGACCCGAGCTCTGACAGCAGAACAATCTCGTCTTTCAAATCGAATCATCTATGCCACGATCTCGCCTTTGATGACTCTGAAAAGGCCGAATGCCTCGCGGACAGCTTAGAGAGCCAATGTACTCCATCTAACGAAACTATAGATCCCGCTCACCTTGAAGAGGTAGAAGCGGAGATCAAGCGTAACTGCAGACTTAGCATAAGTACGCTTTTTTTTAAAGGTATTATTGCTTTTGCACATAATATTTCCACGCATGGTAGATATATAACACATGTTATTGTTAGAGATTCTTCACAGAACATTAACGTAAATTTAAATCAGGAAAATTCTCATGGTGAAAACTTAACTCAGCCCAAATACGTGATCTGAAACAGTTACAATTCGAGTCAATATAGTAGTAATAATCCCTACAAATAACGGTTAATAAATTCAAAATGTTTATACACTTACCACAATATTGTCATAAGTTTTTCTTTTCCTATTCCTATTATAGGAAACCTGCAGAAAGTGATCAGATTATTTGTGCTTTTTATGTGCACAACACTTAACTTTCTTTCTTCTTTCTCTCACAAAAAATCTTTACTGTATATTCACGACGATGTTATGATCTTGTATTCATCTACAAACGAAAATGAAGTATTCTGAGCCCACAATAACTGAATTTGAGCAAAAATCAATAATAAATATTAAAATTTAAACATATGAATTAAAATTGAATAAATTACAAAAAATATTTTAAATATGAAAGACGTCGACAAACAAATGTAATTTTTTTTCTTCTTTTAATTCATAGCTTCTTTTGATAGACTTCTGCAAATATTTAATAATTTTAAATCAATTAATAGGTAAATTAATTGTGAAAATCTCAGAGTAATATGTATGTAATTATACTTTAAAGAGGAAACAAAATAAAAAGTTTAACACAGAATTAAAGTTTTTAGTTTCTTCCGATATAATATGGATTTTTGTATCTAATTTTTGAAATGGCAGTCTAAAACAAAATGAAGGAAAGAAACAGCGATATTTTTTTCTCGCTTTATTTTTACAAGCCCAACAAAACCATTGACTAAATAATGATTATGTGCAGATTTCTCAGCTTTCATACAAAGTTGCATCATCCTGGTTATAACGTTCTAACCACGAAGCAAATTGCTCCGTGGTTCTAACTCACTACCAGTGTCATTGACGTGCTAGTTAAGGACAGGAACAGATTAGTCGTTTCGCATCTTCACTAACGATCAATCTGGAACCGTCTGTGACTTTTTAGTAAAGTAAAGGTCATTTAAATAACTGTAGTGTATATAAGTGTGTATTAGCTGGAGTTTTGTGTTATGAACTTAAACATTTATTTGTAAACAATAAAAAGAAGGCAAAACAAGTGGTAAAATGAAAAATTTTGTACAACCGACTTAAATATAAACTATTAAAGATAACTCAAAAACTAATTGTCAGATCTTGACCAATAAAATTTATATGGGACCATATGAGAAGCACCAGCTTTTATATAAAAGAGAAACATAAAAATCGGTTCACCTAGAAAAAAAATATGAGGTATCACACATAAAAAAGGCAGTCGTAAGGACTGCCGACATAACTGAAAACTCAATGATATATGCGTATACATGTAAACAGGCCGCTAGTCTGGCGGTCTGTTTACTAGCAACGTGTATTAGACATGCTCGTCACGTATATTAGCAGGGTTATCAGTGACGCGAACATAAATTTCAACTACCAAAAATCGCTCAACGCGGTCAAAGATTTCACTTCAAAAAACTTACAGTCAAATTGAGTACCTCCTTGTTTTTGAAGTTGGTTAAAAATCAAACGCAATTTTTACTTTCCAATAGATTTATTCATTGGCTTACTACGTCACAATTTAAAGGCCTTACGTCTCAGACTTCAATTTTCCAACGGGTAAGCCTGGCCTTATCATAATTATCGTTATGATATTTTTACATTTTATTAAAAGTCTGATTTTTGACAATGGTCTGGTCCCAGGAATTAACAGACATAGAGTCGAACTTTCAAAATTTTTTTATATATATTTTATTAAAGCTATTTTTTGAAAATACTAATAAAAAATAAAATAATAATATAATAAATAGAAACCATAAATAATAAGGTTTTGGGCATAAATATAGAGATCTAAACAGTACCTAAATTATATCAATTACGATATTTTTAAATTTAAACGTTTGATCCGCTACATGAGAATACGACTTATTATCTATCTATATCATGACAAATATAAATCTAACAACAACGGTCCAACACAAACCTATTGATGCTCACATAACTATTTTAACATTGAGGCGGAGAACAGTGTTGTATTGTTATAAGTCAGATAGCATAAGTCGTAACAGTTATGTATGACGTTAAAGATAAAGTGTTTTTAATTACGGGAGCTGTAGGTGGGATAGGTTCTGCTTTAGTGAAAGCTGCCTTGCAAGATGAAGCTAAGGTATATAATGTGCAATTAAATTATCGAAAAATATTTCAAAAATATTAATTTACTAATTAAATTTTTTTTGAATGCTGTAAATCGAAAATTATAATATTAGAGTTAGTAAAATTAGATATTATATCTACACCGCGTACTATATGTATAATATAGAATATCACAAATGAAAATAACATTAAAACTTTACAAATTAAAAACTATTTTAATATATTTTTAAATGATTTATTAAGTAATTCTCGTAATATGAAATCTAATTTTTATACTTCTTTATAATATATTGCAAACTTGGAAACCATTTCAAGCGGGCTATGGTAAACTTACAATTATTATTTTTATTAATCCTTAAAACCTTAAGCAGAGTAATTGAGGAGTGAGTGATTAACGAACAATAATTGATGTAAAAATTATTTATTGTATGCAAATTTAATATTATATTGTTATTTTTAGCATGTGATAGCTTTAGATATCGATGTAAACCAAGGTAAGGCGTTAGAAAGCGAATTAAAAGACGTTTACGGGCAAAATAAAATCAAATTTATTAAATGTGACGTCACGAGTGATTTGGAAAATGCATACGATTTAGCGATTAAAGAATTCGGATATATTGACGTGGTAATAAATAACGCTGGAATTATGAATGACAGTCCGAATGTGTATTTAAAAGAGATCGCTGTTAATGTGGTAAGTTAGCTATTTATATTAAATTAAAATCATTTTATATTATAAATAAAATAAAATAAAATAAAATAGGTACATATTGAGAAATATTGGGTTGAAAAAATAACTATTGTTGAATATGTCCGTACTAAAAAAAAATAGTTTTGAATACCTACATAATATTATATTTATTTACCGTTACCGTTACAGCCTATCAAAGGCCACTGCTAAACATATGCCGTTCCTATAGATTGCCTCACAGGGGGATGTTTGCCATAGTTGTCACGTTTGGCAAACGGGTTGACAACCATATTTTCTTATTTTTAGTCGTTACTAAGAAGACGCTGCCGCTCATCATGATTGATGCCTTTGTCCTCTCTTACGATATCCACGGGATCATATGGGGTAGTGGATATTCTTACACCACCACTCCACTATAAATATTATGATCGTGGGGCTAGGAAGCGACATCCCCCTGACATCCTCGGAACACACGAGATTTTATGAACTTACTAAGTATAAATTATAAAGGAAACTATTCATGTTCCAAGCATTCTCATATATTTTTTTATTATGTAATGTTATTATAGTTTACTGAACTAGTTTTAAGAAAAGACAAACAATAGTGTTAAAAGGATTCAAAGGTCAAATAATAAAAAAGTTTCATCTCTATTCAAATGCTAATAATTAAGTATTGTAATTTATTCTTTACGTCAATTTTCAGACTGCACTGATAACGAGTTCCCTTAAAGCATTTGACCTTATGCGCAAAGATCGAGGTGGGAAAGGAGGCACCATAATAAACATATCATCTATAGTTGGACTGATGCAGACATCACTATTACCAATTTACAGCGCCACAAAGAGCGCGGTTTTGCAATTTAGTAATTGTCTTGGGGTAAGGATGTTTTCTAATTTACTTAATTAACCGTGTAGTGTCGGTGTAAGAATATCCACTACCCCATATCGTACCGAGGGTTTCGTAAGAGGCGACAGAGGGAAGATGAAACAGGGATAGACAGCAGCATCTTCCTGATAACAACTCATAATTATAAAAAATTGCGGTTGCCAACCCGCTTGCCAAGCGTGTCAACTATGGCAAAAAGTCAGGCCTATGTTCACTAGTAGACTTTTATAGTCTGTAATGGATGGATGAAGGATGGTCATAAGTGGCAGAGCCATACTGTCACTTACAATACCAGCTTAATAGCAGCATAATACTGTTGTGTCTTGGATGGTGAAAGATCAGAATTGGAGGGCCTTAACACTGCAACCTGCCTGTTGACAACGCATCTGTATTTTGATTCTTAATTGAGAACAGATGCAGGTGTCTATGGGCAACAGCATCCACGCCAGCGTCACGTGGACTGATTACGTGTAATTTTAATAAATTAAATATTCATTTGTATTTCAAATTTTCTTGCCATCTACCCTTCATCACAATCGTCGTCCCCGGCGATATATAAAACAGAAAACACCGATTAAAGCGAAAATATTTTTTTTAATATAGAACCGAGGGTAGTTAATACATATAAAATGACAACATAAAATCACAATATCTTTCTTAATTCGTTTCCCAACATAATAATAAATGTCTTAAATTTTAGTTTTCAATTAATTCTATTATAAGTATTTCCAGGCACTTTTTTAGACAACTTATAGTTTTAAAACACAATATTAGTATTTTTATTTACGTAATTTTAATTAACTTCAAAGTTTCTCAAATATTAATTTTTCTTACAAATTTTCTTGCCGTCCAGTCCCACTGCACGTCTATAAAAAGAACCAGTTTATATCATCACATAATTTATCAGTCCATAAAACTCCACTGCTGGACAAAGGTCTCACTCATTGAATGGAGGAGATCATGCTTAGTAGGCGGATTGCTGATTGTAGTATTCATGCAGTGCCAGACAAATGAGATAATATAGAAATAACTCAAAATTGCTTCATACGATACCTATGGGATGAATTGGAGTTATGTATTTTCATGCGCCGCTACCGCACGGCACATACTAGTATAAGCGGAATCATTGATTAATGTACAAAAAATATTTTCCAGTTGTTTACATTTTTGGTCATATGCTATTTTATGAAATAGTTACTACCGTTACGGTTACAGCATATTGAAGTCCACTGTTGAATATCGGTCTCCCCATAGATAATTCCATAGGGAGATATTTGCCAGAGTTGTCACGACGGGATGATAATGGGGTACCTAGTGAATATTCTTACACCGCCAGTACACGGTAAAAATTTCTTATGAAAATATTTTTAAAACAATAAACCGTGTCATTGCCTGATAATATGCAATGTTCTTCTCTGTTAAAGATAAAATAAACGTAGGTAATATTTACTTGCCTTTTGTGTATTACATTTGTGTGCATTTCATAATCAGTATAGTAATGTAGTTGACTGGTAAAATCTAATGCAATAGATAAAAGGATTACATTGTGTAACGTGTGATCACGTTGTTTGGCTTACCTGACATAGTAGGGGATAACCATGATATAGTATTATTTGCGGATGAAACTTCTTTAATTTTCAAATTACGATGAGAATTACTAAAATATGACGAAGTAAACAATGCTATATCTAAATTAGGAAATTGGTTCAATGTTAATAATTTGCATTTAAATGGCACTAAAATGAAATGTAAGAAATTCATGACTCCAAATGTCAAACCATTAAATACTAATATAATTTTAAATGGGAAGGAACTGAGTCTTGTTGATACCACCATTTTTCTTGGAATCACACTAGATGCGAAGCTTCAATGGAGCCCCCATATATCAAAACTAGCAGGCAGACTTAGTTCTGCAGCAGCATAATATGATGTAAATAATTTAAAATTAAAAATTTTGTACAGCCGACTTCAATATAAGTTATTAAGAGTAACTTAAAAACTATTGGTCTCACCTTGATCAAATTCATATGGGACCACACGAGAAGTACCAGCTTTCAAATAAAAAAAGAATCATCGAAATCGGTTCACCCAGTAAAAAGTTATGAGGTAACACACATAAAAAAACATACAGTCGAATTGAGTACCGTCTCCTTTTTGGAAGTCGGCAGAAGAGATTAGATATTTTACCTGTGTTGAAACAGCTAGACTAGTTTATTTAAGCCATTTCCATAGCATAATGTCGTATGGTATTTTGCTATGGGGATACGCAGCTGAAATTGAAATTATATTTGTTTTACAGACGAGGGCCATAAGAGCAATCTATGATTTAAAACCTAAAGAGTCGCTCCGACAAAAATTTAAGGAAATTAATATATTAACTTTGGCCTCTCTATACATTTATGAAAATGCAATATACATACACAAAAATAAAGATAGTTATACAAAAATAAGTGATATTCATTCAGTAAATACTAGGAACAAACACAAGCTAGTAGTACTAGTTACTCGACTCCACCGAGTGGGTAATTCATTCTTGGGGCGATGTAAACGCTTTTACAACAAAATCCCAGAAAATATACAAAATTTGACATGCTCAAAGTTCAAAAACTTTATTAAACAAAGTTTGTATAAAAAGGGTTATTATAATATTGAGGAATTTATGGATGATAATAACCTCTGGGAATGACGTGACCGCTACCAAGCTATTTCTAATTTGTTTTGTGTGATTAATTTTGATAACATGATTGTAAGTTGTTATTTTAAAATAAAAAGTCCCGCTGGATTTCTTGCTGGTTCTTCCCAGAACAGGGTTTTTTCGAACTAGCGATAATCAAACAAAATAGTGACTTTCAATAAGTATTATTTATAATCAAATATTGAATAAAAAAGTTTCTGTTTCTGTTTCTGTAAATAATGTTAAGAGTTAATACAAATAAAGATTACATAACTCATAATTTTTTTAATTGACGGCTCCGTGGCGCAGTGGCTTAGCAATAAGTTGCTGCGCTGGGCGACGCGGGTTCGAATCCCGCACGGAACAAGTATTTGTATGGCCTACAAATGATTGTTCTAGGTCTGGATGTTTGTCCTTGTGAAATTTGTGTTTGTAAACTACCTCCACGATACAGGAGAAAATCCTAAGTGTGGGGGTAACATTTAAAAAAAACAATTAAAAACAAAAACAATGCGTTGTTTTAACCAATTTTAAACCATATTTTTAATAGAATCAGGGTGACAAAGAACCATACAGTCCACCAGATGGTAGAGATATACATCTATCCTCGATTAAGGATCAAAATGCAGATGCGTTGCCAATCCTGATGACTATAATGGAAAGCCTCGTTTCCGTTAAAAAGGGTCTCCGGTTCTGTACACTCACCGTACGAAACACAGCAGCATTAAGCTGCTACTTTATGCTGGTATTCTGTGAGTGCGTGGTCCTTCCCTGGTCGAGCCAACCCATTTATGCTACAACCATAATATAGCCACGTAAAATTATGAAAACTTCAGCCATTAGTGTAGAAGTAAAAATAGAGGCGGTCGTACGTAAGGACGAATGCCTCTATTTTAATGAGCGTAAAGAAAATATTCAGAAGTAAATCTATATTTATTTCAGATGGAACAGAACTTCTCTTGGTCAGGTGTACGTGTATTGACTGTGTGCTTCGGTAGCACGGATACTCCACTTCTAAGTCTGCAAAAATTAGGCGGTTTTACCAAAGAGTTTGATGAAAAAATACATGTTGGCATTAACAAGATGCCACAGCAAAGGTACTAATTTTAAACACATTAAATGAAATGATTATGCCTATGTTTATAGGAGTACCTACTAAAGTTTTTATTATAATCATTTCTTATGTTGACGCGAACACATAATAAAATAAAACTAGTTTAGCAGATCTCCGCCCCATGACCATGTTTGCTGTGAAATGTTCGAAACATCGGAAATATAAAATGAATAGAGAGTTTTTTTGTATTTTCAAAGTTGAGTTCGACAAAGACCACGAGACGATTATGAATTCTTTCAATCAACAATATTCAATGCTTTAGCTGTGTGTGTTAAGAAATAGGTACAATCTAAGTAGATTAATGATAAGTCATCGTGCGCTCCGCGATGACCTATTATTAATCAAAGGGTACATAATTTTTTATCAAGGTGAATAAATAATAAGAATATTTGGTAAATAATACCATCTAGCTTCAAGGTCCCTAGCAAGGCATCTTGCTAATTATTTATTGCCTATTCATGCATACAAGTTGAACAGTTTGATAAATTAAAAAAAATCTTTACTAACATAATATTATTATAATCACAGTGCGCAGTCTGCGGCTCAAGGTCTTCTAACAGCATACAGAAACGGTGTCAGCGGAAGCACTTGGCTTGTGACCTCTAACAGACCGGCCGAGGAAATTACAGAAAACGTAAAAAACGCTTACAAAACTCTAAGTCAAGGCATATATGAATAATGATCAATCATTTATACCTAAAGTTAATAATGTTTAAATAAAAATCGTAAATTCATTTCAAAGGTTTTAAATATTATGTTACGAAATGAAAACGCTTGTTTGTGTAAGAAAAGGGACGATCTTATTTTTAAATAATAGTTAAATTTTAAGAAAAAGGAAGTTTATGGATACACGAATGTAATAGATACATGGAAGAGAATAACTAATGTTTTATTTTGAATGATTAAAACTTGATTTCTTTGATTTCCTGACGAGAAGTTGTGTTGTAATTTCCCGAACGCTGCCCAGCCGATTTGAATCCGTTGATTGACCTCTCGGTCGTAGTTGCACTTACCTAGTTGGACTATTTGTCCCAGGTAAACGTACTCGTCAATACTCGAAGAACTTCGAGCTTAGTGCTCCCAATAAATACTGGCATAGGTGTAACGATTTGTTGTCGTCGGGGTCGATCAGCTGGTGATCTTCTGGTCTACCTGACTCATAGATGGGCGGAGGCAGTAGTGTCCAAGGGGAGGCATTAGCCGTTAGTTTGAACACTGAGAAGGCCTTTGATCGGGTTTGGCACAAAGTGCTTCTTTCGAAGCTCTCTAGCTATGGGCTTCCCAAAAAATTGTGCAATTTGATCAGTAGATTTCTTGCAGATCGGAGCATCAAGATTGTTGTAGACGGTGCATGCTCCGACTACAAGCCTATTAATACTGGTGTTCCACAAGGCTGCGTGTTATCACCAACGCTGTTTCTTCTGCATAACAATGATATGTTGCGAAGCGGTAACATTCATTGCTATGCGGATGACAACACTGTTGATGCTCTATACAGCGGCCGTGCCTATATTTCTCGGGAAAACGTCGCCTAGTACCGAAACAAACTTATGTCTGAAGTCGAGTCTTTGCTGAACAAAGTTTCGGATTGGGGGCGTCCAGTTTAATCCTCAGAAGACACAAGTTTGCGCGTTTACTGCTAAAAAGAACCCCTTTGTCGTATCTCGTTAGTTTCAAGGTACTCCCCTAGTTGCCTCAGCCAGTATCAGAATCCTCGGTGTCGACATATCGAGTGACGTGCAGTTTCGTGGGTACTTGGAAGAGAAGGCCAATTTGGCCTGTAAAAAGCTTGGCGTGCTCAGCAGAGCGGGACAGTATTTCATTCCGGCACACCGTCTGCAACTTTAGAAGGCGTAGGTTCGGCCTCGTATGGAATACTGATCATTTTATAATGATGCTTAATCGATTTTTAATGGTTGTTTTCTTTAGCTCCATTTTAGAAAAAAAACTTTGAGTTTTAATTGATAAGATGATAAGACCATTTTAGACGTGAAATTAATATATCTTTAATATGTATTTAAAAAAATCCATATCGAACGTAGTGTATTAGATAATAACAATAAATTGAGTTTTAAGTAGCATTTCGATAACTGAACTAATTACTTCGATAACTGAAATAAAAGTGAACTATTGTTGTGGTAATTCAGGAGAGCCGTGGTAACTCAGGGGCTAAGCATTCGCTGTAAGCATAAGCTAGTTATACAAAAATATAAAAATATGTATAGAGTCTATCTGAGGAATCTTCCGTTTCTTCAAAAAGCAGAGGTGGACCCGTAGAAAAACGTTGCAGGTTCCAAATATTTAACATTAGGTATAGTGGTGTCCAATAGTAAAGACCTTGAGCTTATAACAACCCAACTGTCAGTAAGTATATACCTAATCGGCTCATGAGGAATATATACTACTATTGATGTGTGCCCTACATTTATAACATGGGCGTACATTTATTTACATAACATCACAGATATGTACAAAATAACATCAAATAGATATTTGAATCTGTAATTATTCAAACAAGAAATATCTTCCGAAATCCTTATTCGGTTTTGGCGACTGTCCCTGCGTCTACACTACTACAATTTAGTCTATTTTAGAAAATTTTATATAAGCCTTATATATACTCGTATAGTCGACATCTATAAATAGGAACATGAATGAGTACCTCTGTGTTCGCGTGTTTTTTTTTAAATATAATAACGGTATGACAAACGAGCACACAGTCCACCTGGTGGTAAATGCGATGCTGTGATGCGATACATCTACATTTATCCTCAATTAAGAATCAAAATGCAGATGAGTTGTCACCACTGAAGACTGAGATGGAATGCCTCGTTTCCACTAAAAAAGGATCTCCGGTTATATAAACTCACCATACGAAACACAGCAGCATTAAACTGCTATTTTACGCTGATATTCTGTGAGTACTTGGTCCTACCCCGGTCGAGCCGACCCATCTGAGCTGCAACCACATTACAAAACCACGTAAAAAACGCGTGTCTTTGTCTAGTGCTATAATATCTTGTAGTGTTACCTACACTATGGCGAAGCAATGTAATTCGAATATTAAATGCCATCAAAAACATAACTTGTAAAAAAACCAAGTCTCGCAACTCAGTTCTTTTTTTTTCAGTAGGAACTGAATAAATTAACCGACTGGGTATTACATGGATCTCACAACTTTTTACGGTAAAAGAACTGAGTTGCGAGACTTGGTATTTTTTACAAGTTATGTTTTTGATGGCATCTCATTTCTTTTTGTAGATAGTTATATCTAAGTACCTATCTACACCTATTATTCCATTATATTATACATAATATACAGGGTATTTTTGGAACGTTCCCGAAAACGAAGACAGACGACAGTACCAACTATACCTTTGATGATGGGTGGAATATAAAAATCGATCCTGATGAAAGAAAAATCATCTTTTCACAACGTTTTATTAGCTTTATTCATTCTCTATCATGTTAGTACAGCTAAATGAAACGATAATTTCATTAAAAAAATCATGAAAATACTGAAACATAAAATCAGCAGAGGAATTACTGAATTGATATCAGCTGACTAGAGGTCAATGTACGCGCAAACGCTGAAAAAAGAACGCTGGTCTTGAACCTGGGCAGTGAGCGATTTATGAGTGACTGGTACGAAGGGGGCGCGACGGAGGAATAATCCGCCAGTATTATTGTGCCCGTATGCTATTGGTTCCCGTGCTTTGTTCGCTCCCAAAATACAGTCGCAGACACAGCTTACTTTGCGACTAGCGACGATGGTTTTAAAAGGGAAGGAAAGAAAAATTATTTATATCTATTGTTTTATGACTGAATAGTGAACGAAAAGGAAAATATAATAGGAGAAGGTGAATGGGGAAAATTGTGCAGTAAAGTTAAAAATGTTGAGGAAGAATACCGAAAAAATTAACATGTGATCGACCTGATGACGGAAGCTCAAGCGAAGATGAAAGTGATGATGAAGTAACATCCAGTAACACCAACACACCATCGACATCTGGCTTCCATGTGACCCAAGACGACATAATGGACGGCGTGTCACCCTTAGCTCAAGCATTCTTGTTACAAACTACTTTATATTTTACGATAGAAATAACAAAAATAACAAATAATGCTCAAGTAAACATTATCCATTTTTAATTCCAACCTTAAAACACCTATTATGATTCTACAATAAAACAATTAATTACTATAATATTATAAAACAATACCATGTAGTAATTTAGAACATGACAGTACCCACACTCCCTCCACTGTCGACCTGTATCTAGCTCGCGGTGCGAAACAATGCCTAACCCGGCCAGCTGGTGTCGCCTCACGCTGTGACGCAGTAGGTTTCAGTTTTGGCGGGGTTAATTAAAGTTTTTAATTTAAGTTTTTTCGTTATTAATTTAAGTTTTTGAGACAGTTCCGTGTTGATTTTGTACACGCGTGGGCGAGTGACAGTTCAATCGTTTTGTTTATTAAATTCTAATTTCTTGTGATTAAGTGTTGATATTATTCTTGTTGTTACGTTTTTTGTTTCTTTTTTGTTTTAATAATGCCTAACGCGTACCTTTATAGTACTCGTGAATACGGCAACATGTAAGGTATCCGAACCTAGGTACACGAAGTATCGCTAAATTGTCAAGACTGCCGGAATGGAACAAGTGTGTCATACTGTGCGGTGCATAAAGTGTTGAAACGTAACCGAATGCGCCCATACAAATTGCACAAAGTGCAAGCTTTAGTTCCCGGCGATCACGACCGCCGACGAGTTTTCTGCCGTTGGTTATTAGACCAGCAACCTGTGCCTGGTTCCATTGAGCACATTATCTGGACGGATGAGTCGACATTTAGCAGAAACGGCCTGTGGAACCGAAGAAATACGCACGTGTATTCAGAGGTTAACCCGCACGCTGTTCGATAAACCGGCCACCAAACCCGATGGTCGGTTAACGTATGTGCAGGTTTATTTAAGGATTGCATACTGGGACCAGTGTTTCTGCCACAGCGACTTAACGGACAGCGATATCTAAACTTTATAAATGAACAGTTGGTTGACATTTTAGACGACCTATCGTTGGCTGAATATCGCCGCACATGGTTCCAGCATGATGGTGTACATGTGGAGGTCCACATGTCGTGAGGTTCGTCCGTAAGCGCCTCACCGAATTATTTGATGATAGCTAGATTTGGCGGACTAGGACCATGCTTATGGTCCTACGCTTGGTCACCTCACTCACCAGATATGACCCCGTTAGACTTCTTTCTGTGGGGTATGTGAAAGAAAGGGTTTTTAATCGTGAGTGTGATAGTGCTGACGAAATGCGCCAAAGGATCGTGGATACTTTCGATAAACTACGTACGGATTGTGTCGAAGACCACACGATGATGACCCGCCTGCATGAGGAGACGCAACACCGAGCCCAAATCTGCCTTGAAATGAATGGAGCACAAATTGAGCCGCATCTCATAAGACCACGGAGGGTTTAGAGCGGTAAGCTGTTTCATAACTATTTTTTTTAAATAACTTAGTACTGAACTAATCTGAATAGGTACATAACTGAATACATGAGAATAATAAACATACCTACACGATGAATAAAAACGCATGACTCTAACCTTGGTTACATTTCATTTAAGTATTTTTTCATTAGCGGGGAATCGAACCAGTTATTTGGGTTA